CTGCTCTTTGCTATCAGGTGTGAAGCAGCACACCCACCGAGTGGGAGGGCAAGCAAAGGGGATCAGTCCCCCCCCCCCCCAAGTCATCCGTGGATGAATGGCGACCACAGATTAGCAATGCAGTCCTGCAGAGTTACTCCGATCTAGGCCCACTGAAATGGATGGACTTGGACAGAAGCAACTCTGCACAGGATTGCAGTTGGGAATCAGGCACTCCACCGTGCCCCCGTGCCATACCCCAAACGGTAGGGATGCTTCCAGTGCAAAATGCCCAGGAATGGTCAGGCTCCAGGCAGGCAGCAGGCATGTAGGACAGGATTTGTGACAAGGAGGAGGAATGGGGGACATTGAGCAAAAACAAACAAACAAACAAAAAGAGCAAAAAAGCGATCCAGCCTCATGCCTCTGCAGAACTTCTGCTGTCCCACTGTCTCTTTTGCCACTTGCTCTGCGACCTTCTTCAGTGTCCCAAATGGCCTTAGATCAGTTTCAAGTACAAACGGCTAGGTCTTTGTCCCCTTCTGAATCTGGCCAAATGGAGACTATGAAGCGGCATGGGTCTGGTGGGGGCCATAAGGAGTCTGCGACAGAATTTCACTTTGAACTAGTCACCCAGCAGGGGGTTCTACCACTGGCTGGAGTTCTGACAATGCTGCTGGATGCTGGCAGCTCCTCACCATTGCAGGTCAGCAGTGCCTGGACTTCAAGTCACCGGACTGTGCCTGTCCGGAGTCCAGTGGCTCCCTCTGGTTTCCACCCAGCTGAGCTTGCTGCCAGGCAAGAGCCTGGGGCAGAGTGGAGTGGGACCACAAAGGTCCTGGCTGCTGCAGCTGATGGTTCCTAGCTTTGGTCAGGCTGGAAGTAGGCCTGGAGAGACTTCAGGATGCCCTTCAGTTCATCCACTAGGGAAGGCTGGAGGATGGCAGCACTGACGGAGACGGGGCACAGAGGGAGAGGCAGGCAAGGAAGCGGGCCCTGGCCTCTTGATACTTGCCGGTGGGTATGCGTAGGACTGAAGATTTCACACAGTGCCATTCTGAGCAGTTACATCCTTCCGAGTCCATTGATTTCAGTGTCCTGGGAATGAGTGGCCCTCTGCTTAGATGGGGCACTGTAAGTCAGCTACTTGCAGGCAGGTCCTAGCTCTCCAGCCTGCTTTCAGAATCCAGAGTCAGGACTTAATTCTGGGACATATTCACATTGGTGAGTTGGTACAAACTGTAAAATAAAAAAAATGTAGTAAAATAAAGTAAAAGCTGTATAATAATACTTTTATGCATATGCAAAAGTCTCTCTCACTGTGGTTGTACCCCACCCATCTTTTATTAGAGCTTTGGACTCCTGGCTTACTCCTGAATCCCCACATCTCTCTGGGAGCCCTGGCAGGCTTGCCTGTTGCATGGCCTTTTTCTCTCTAAATCAGGGGCACTGATAGCCCAGTCCTGCCCATGTCCCTGGAAATCAATCCCACAGTGTTTCACGGGAGACGGAAGAATCTTAGGCATGTCTGCACCCTGCAGGTTGTCCCTTTGATGGGAAAGCAACTGACTGCCAAGAAGGGGAGTCTGGTGTTCTAGTCTTCTTTTGCAAGTTAAGAATAATGTACGTATTTACCTAGAGCTTTAGGGCTTCATATTCTCTCTAAATCAGGGGCACTGATAGCCCAGTCCTGCCCATGTCCCTGGAAATCAATCCCACAGTGTTTCACGGGAGACGGAAGAATCTTAGGCATGTCTGCACACTGCAGGTTGTCCCTTTGATGGGAAAGCAGCTGACTGCCGGGAAGGGGGGTCTGGCGTTCTAGTCTTCCTTTGCAAGTTAAGAATAATGTACCTATTTACCTAGAGCTTTAGGGCTTCATCTGCAGAATGACACCACCACAGTGTAGGCTAACAATATCATCTTTGTTTGCTTTTAAAGGGTTCCAGTAGCTATTAAAATATGTTATAACTAAGTATGGTAAAAGGGGTGGGTAAGGAGGGACCTAAAAAAAGTGGGTGCCTTGCAGCAGTGAATTCACGAGGGGAGACTTGAACTGGGAACACTGCTGCTCACGGCAGGAGGACCCTGAGGGGTGCTGCATGTGTGTCCCTTGGCTGTGTAGTGATGCGTTTCCACGATCCGGGTTTCTTTGCCATTTGTGGGACCCAAACGACTGGAGGAGATAGAAGGGGCTTTCCTAACGCTGCCGGTCTGGCCGCTCCCTTCCCGGCTTGCCCACATACCTTCCAGGCAAGCTCCCCGCCGGGCGGGGGGGCGGGGCTTACGGAAGGAGGGCCGTGGTGGTGACCTCTGGGTGAGGATTTGACATCGCCGCGTCCGCTCCCTCCCTCCCCCCCAGAGGAAACCCCAAACGATGCCTCCACTCCCCCTCCCGCGCCCCCGAGATCGGAGCAGGGGGGCCGACTCCGGAGCCCTTGGCCGACGGTCCCGGACTCGCTGGCCTTTGGCGGGCGACCACTCTTCTTCTGCCTGCCGCCGTCCCACCTCCGACGGGCCCAAGGTGCCTTCTCTGCTGGCCGGCTCTCCGGTGCCTCGGGCGACACGGCCAGCCAGGCAGGCAGGGGCGGGGAAGGAGGGCGGCCCGAGCGCCAGCCTTGGCAGAGCCCTACAAAGGGCCGCCGCCGCCGCCGCCGCCGGCACAAAAGGGGCAGCCACCCTTGGCATCCGCAGCCCGCCTGGCTCAACCGAGCGTGGCTTGTCAGCAGCCTGCCAAAGCGACAACAGAAACGCGCGCCCGGGAAGGAAGGCGGCGCTCTGCCCCTCGGCGGGGGGACGGGGGACGGGGGGGGGACCTCTTCCCCAGCCGAGGCCTGTCTCCTCGGGACTCGGAGTAGGGTTCTCTCCAGGTGGAAAGGGACTTTCTTCCCACGTCAAAGTAGATAGGACTGCCCTCGTAAAAAGGGGGAGAACATTAGGGAAAGGGAGTAGTTTTGTGCAGCGCGCGATCCTGGGTACATTTACTCGGGAGTAGGCCTCCGAGGATTACAGGGAGACTTACTTTCTGGAAAATACCCCGAGGGATGGACCTCGGGGCTACTAGTCTGTAAATTCAGTCCAAATTGGGGCTCGGAGGGGGGGACACAAACACACACTTGATGGAGCGCTTCCTGGAGGCCCCCCGCCCCCCTGAACTCGCTCGGGCTCTGCAACGGACTTTGCCCGCCTTCCAATCGACTGAAACGGGAGGGGGTAGGGGGCGGGTGTCATCACCCGCATTCTGTCTGGCAGAGTCACAAGATCGCTGGCCAGGAGGCAGATCCTTTTGGGACATCCTAGAACAGGTCGGGACTGAAGCCTTAACTGCTGTTCATGCACAAGCGCTGGGATTTTGATCAACGTGGTGTTAATGGCTCTGAGGGCCGGAAGGAAGGGGAGGCAAACGGATAACACTAAGAAAGAAAGAAAGTTACTGCCTTAGTGAGTTGATCTACTCATTGTCATGACTTAAAAAAATATCAAATGATATATACCCTAAGATGTGACTCTGACCTAAAGAAACCTTTCTGCATAGAGTATGAACATTTGGTGACTGGCAGGCTTATCAATGTGTCCTCCAATTCCCACCTTCTCCAGCGAATCAGATCTATCTTCAACACTACAAAGTTTGAGAGTCCAGTGGCACCTTGAAGACCAACAAAATTTTATCCAAGGTAAAGGCTTTCCTGTGCAAGCACACTTCTTCGGATACAGCAAGGCCTGTACCCAAAATCAAACTTTCCCGGTCTTCAAGGTTTCACTGGATCCTCAAACTTTGTTCTGCTGCTCCAGACCAACACGGCTGCCCACGTGAATCCACCTTCAGCCCTGTTTTTCATCGCCTGCACGCTCGGTTCTATGCCACGTATTCACACAGCGGAGTAGTCCTTGAAAATCCTGCCGATGGGTGCCCATTTGACTGCCAGGCCACCCTATGCGCAGGCATAGATGTTTTGCCTGTCACTACCAATGTCGAAGCCACGGACTCTGCCTTTGGTGGGGTTATTCGTGCCTGAGGAAAAAGTACTCTGCTCGTGCTCAGAGACGCTACGGTTCCCATGTCGGATAGCCAAGCCTGGACTCTGAAACTCAACATATCCATTAAGTTCTTTAGCTCACACACCTTGCCTCGACCCCGAACCAAAAGTTGTCCCTCGTGTACCTTAACTGGAAAAAGGAGGAGAGAGAGAGATGGCGTAAGAAGAAAGTCCCACGCGGTAGAGCGAGATGGACCGCCTGTCCCTTGACAGTGCTCGCCTGCCAAGCGCATCAAACAACAATCTAAGGAACAAAAGTAACGTCACCGAATATTAATGACATTATTTTTTAAAAAAACACACACCCCATCGAACTATATAAACCAAACCACACCCAGAATGACCACCGCGTGCGAAGCTGGACTGGTGGCGTCGGAAAGGGTTTCTAATCCGCGTTGGAGACGGTCACAAACGATGGGGATGGTTCCAGATTAAAGAACGCCGAGCGGCAAAGGGCGAGAGGGCGCTGCCTGGACTTTCTCCTTCGTGTGTAGGTATCCGCGGGCGCAGCTATTCCGGATTAACTGCCGCGCCGCACGCCGCAGCTCGCCGTTCCCTGGGCGCGTCCTCGAGGT